AATGGATGTGAGATATGAGATAGATCGGCTGCCTCCTGCAGCCTCCCCCCCTCCTACTGGGGATAGCGCCCACAACTTGGGCATGTGCCTTGACCAGAATTGAGCCGGCAACCTTTTGGTGACGGGGACACCGCCCAACCACTTCATTCGTTGTTACTAATAGTGTCGTCACAGACATGTGCCACCATCAGCACAGTCCATTCTAGAACATTCTCACGGCCTGGAAAAGGAACCCAGGCCCCTTGAGCAGTCACTCCCCTGGCCCCTGGTGACCACGGATCTACTTTCTGTCTCCACAGGTTTGCGTATTCTGGACATCTCATGTAGGCAGATCATATAAAATGTAGTCTCTTGCCCTAACTGGTTTGGCTCAGTGGATGGAGCATCAGCCTGCAGACTGAAGGGTTCCAGGTTTGATTCCGGTCAAGGGCATGTACCTTGGTTGCGGGCATATCCCCAGTAGGGGCTGTGCAGGAGGCAGCTGATCGATGTTTCTCTTTCATCAATGTTTCTAACTCTCTATCCCTCTCCCTTCCTCTCTGTAAAAAATCAATAAAATATATTTTAAAAAATGTAGCCTCTTGTGACTGGCTTCTTCCACTGAGCATAAATGTTTCCAAGGTTCGCCCTTGTTGCAGCATGTGTCACAGCTGCATTCCTTTTGACGGCCCAGTGATTTCCCTTTGTGTAGAGACACAGTGTGTGTATCCATTTGTCAGTTGGTGGACATTACCTGCTTCCTGCTTTTGGCTATTATGAACAGCTAGAGGCCCGGTGCACGAAATTTGTGCATGGTTAGGGTCCCTAGGCCTGGCCAGCAATCAGGGCTGATCGGGGCCTTCCTTTGTTCTGCGCCAGCCCCTGGTCGTCAGCGCACGTCATATCGAGTGGTCGAACTCCCGGTCGGTCAAATTCCCGAGGGGACAATTTGCCTATTAGCCTCTTATTATATAGGATGCTGCTGTGAAAATTAATAAAAGAAACCTCATTTAAATGGATTCCCGAGGCCTGAAGGGGGAGCCCCACACGTAATTCCAGGTCAATTACACCCCAATGGGAAGAATGTAAGTTCCAGACTCAACAGGAAAAGACACCCTGCATTCCCAGCAAGATGTGTCCCTACCACCCAGCGGGAGGAAGGAAGAATTTCTCCTCGCCCATCAAGCCCAGCCAATGGGAACCATGGCAACTTGGCCAAGGAGCAGTCACCACCGCCCCGACTCACTTCCCTCCAATGGGCTTTCCCTCACAGCTGCCTTTCTCTGTATAGGTGACTTTCCCCTCCCCTGCCTGCTGGACTTGCCCATGATTTCTGCTGTAGCATGTTTGTCCCGAATTGCAATCCTCTGCGGTTCCTGAATGAATCCACTTTTCTGGTAAATAGCTGGCTGTTTTAATTTCATTTTTTTTAAAAATGTATTTTTATTGATTTCAGAGAGGAAGGGAGAGAGAAACATCAGTGATGAGAGAGAATCATTGATCGGATCAGCTGCTCCTTCATGCCCCACCCTGGGAATTAAACCCACAACCCAGGATCCCAGGCATGTGCCCTGACCAGGAACCGAACTGAGACCTCCTGGTTCATAGGTCAACGCTCAACCACTGAGCCATGCCAGTGGGCCTGGCTGTTTTATTTTGTAAAAGAATTGTTTGTGCGCCGAAGCCGGTTTGGCTCTGTGGATGGAGCGTTGGCCTGCGGACTGAAGGGTCCCGGGTTCGATTCCGGTCAAGGGCATGTACCTGGGTGGTGGGCACATCCCCGGTGGGAGGTGTGCAGGAGGCAGCTGATCGGTGTTTCTCTCTCATCGATGTTTCTAACTCTCTATCTCTCTCCCTTCCTCTCTGTAGAGAATCAATAAAATATATATTTTTTAAAAAAACTTTGTGAACTCTAGGTATAAGTTTTGTGAGCACATTTTCACTCCTCTTGGGTATACCTAGGAGGGGAATCGCTGGTCACATGGTAACTGTGTTTAACTGAGTTGTTGTCAGATTGTTTCTCAGAGTGGCTCAGGGCTACAGGTTTTTGCGGGGGCCGGTCTATATCAACACATTGAGTCACCCCAAATCAGCATGTCCCCACTGTGCTAACGGGCCAATTTCACTAGGTCCTGCAGGCTAGAGTCGGGAGATCCTGGCAGCTCTGGTCCCTTGGAGCTGGGTCCGGGCGTCCGCCAGGATGGCGCTTCAGGAAAGCGCGGGCGGGGCTCGGGGGCCGGCTCGGTCAGGCCGCCCCAGCCCCAGG